AGAGAGAGAGAGAGTCGGAGACAGGGAAGGGGCTGGAGGAGAGTCAGATCAATAAAAAGACAGAGACATCAATAAAAAGGCAAAACAGCAAAGAACTGGAGTATCAAAATCAGATCAATAAAGGAGAGGAGAACATTGAGAAAATGCACTAATGGAAATCCAGAGGCAGAGAATGAAAGCTGGGCAAAAGGCAGGGCGAGAAAAAAAAGGACAGGAGGGGAGAGAGGGAACACGACAGAGACAGATCAGCTCGAAGGGACACAGGCAGAGTAGAAAGGGCCTCCACTGGCCCGCGTGGGGCAGCCCCTAGGGGTCCCCGGCAGTGCTGATGACGTGGAAGAGGGTGACATTGTAGAGCACCTGGTGGCCGTTGTTCCAGGTGTAGAGGGCCCGCTCGCGGGGGTTGTAATCCAGCATGGAGATGTGGGAGTACTGGTTGTGGAAGGGCACGTCCGTGTACTCGTAGCTGGACGTGTTGGTAAAGTAAGCGAAGTAGACCTTGGCGCCGGCCAGGTGGGAGTTGGTCACGTAGAGCACGCCACAGATCATGAAGGCCTCGCCCGCGCTCCGCTTGGGGTAGCCGGTGTCCCAGGACCGCGTGACCTCGAGGGTGTGCGGGTCCAGCCGGCTGACCACGATGTTGCCCGCGTTCTGGTTGGTGGTGTACACGGCCCAGAGCCCGTTCTCATCCACCATGAAGTCCATGTCGGAGAAGCCGCCCCAAGAATAGGGGAAGGTGTTGTTGTAACCGGCGCCCGGGAGGCTCCTCTGCACCAGCACGGAGCGCGAGCGGAAGTGGTACTTGACCACCACGTTGCTCTGGTACTTGTTGTAGAACAGGGAGCCATTGTACACCACGTGGCCCGTGCCCGCCCACGGCTGGGGCAGCAGGTGCTGGATAAAGTTCTGACCTTTGATGAAGTCTCCCAGAGTGCGGAACTCCAGGACACGCCGGCCCTTGTAATAGCCATCCATGTACCAGACCTGTGAGAGAGCCACTGGTCACTGGGGGACCATCGCCAGTGGCCCAAAGGCTCCAGCAACCACTGAGGAATGAACCATGGTCATTAGACATCAACAGTCACTAAATGGTCATTAGTGAGTCATGGGATGACCAGCGACACCCATGACCAGCCATAGTCCCAGGGACGGGATCGCTTGGTCAGGGAGTGCCCTTGGTCTTAAAACACTCACTAAGCAGACGGTGCTTGAGTCCCAAGGACTGGGGAAAACTGCAACTCCTGGAGACCCACTGAACCCGGGGATTCACTGGTCATTGCCTACTGGATGGTTAGTGGTCACTGGATAGCCATTGGGTGATGAGAAGTCACCTGAGTTCATTGCCCATGGTAACCCCTGTAACTACAAGTTGACCGAACCTGTAATCTGCATCTTCACCATCATCACTCATCTCACCATGTTTATTAGCATTTGCAAGTACCTTTACTAGGGTTGGTTATTGGGCTAAGCATCTTAAAAGCTTTAATGTGGACATTATCATGATCCTTTTGAAGGTAAGAAAATTGAGTCTCCGAGACATTAAGGAATCTTGGACAGCCAAGAATTGGAGGAAATGAGGTGCAAATCCAAGTCTGATTCCCACACCTAAGCTCTTAACCATCTGGTTGAACCACCGTAATCCCTGGGAGGCCAGTGATCATGGCGAGGATATCGGGTCACTGGAATAGTCACTGCAGCAGTTAATGGGTGGTTCCTGTGGGTCGGAGGTGAAGGGCAATTGTGAACATAGAAGCTACTGGAAGTCCGAAGGTTACTGAGTGGTGCTGGGGGGAGGGGCCTCTAGTCCTTGTGAAGGCACTGGTTAACCAGGCAGTAACTTAGAGGTCAGTGGTCACTGGGAGCTGCTCAATAGTACTAGTAACCATTAGTCTATTTGGTCATCAGAAGTCAACAGACAGGGATTCATAGGGCTGGAAAGTCCTTGGTCACTTTATGGTCACTAGATGGTCAAGGGGAGGTCCAAGGGCCTGGAGACCCCAAGACTTTGGGTTATAAGAGAATCATTGGGCACCTATGAGCAGCCACAGGTTATGTCCCTCCCAGGCTCTGACTCCTGGGATGGGCACAGTCACTTACCCGGCTGTCCGCACTGGGGGCCATCGTGTCAGTCATCCAGGAGCCAAAACGGGACCCCATGGCCCGAACGGTGATGGGGTTACTGACCCCAGTCAGCTTCCCACAGCCTGGGAGGCAGAAACAGGGGAGATGAGGGTGTGGGGGTGGGAAGAGCCCCAGGGAGGCAGGGCAAGGATGAGGTGGGACTGGGAAGAGCTGGGATCAGGGGTGAGAGAGGATCCAGAGATCTGGTTCCAAGATGGAGTTAAGTTGGGGGTGAGGGGCTGGAAGTCAAGGGTCAGGGCCATTACTAATTTTGGGATCTATTTTTGGCCTTGGTTAGGGAGGTCAAGGATAGAAGTTGAGAAGTTAGAGGTCATCTAAAAAGTTTTTGCACAGCAAAAGAAACCATCAACAAAAAAATAAGACAGCATATTGAATGGGAGAAGATATTCACCAATGATAGAAGTTAAAGATCAAAATCATGTCTAGCTTCTGCACACACAGGTGGTATTAGGATCAAGGGCATGGAAGTCAGGGGTCAAGGTCAAGGGTCAAGGCATACCCAGCTTCTGGGCGCAGGCATGGAGCCGGGCCTCCAGAGCCATCACCCGCTGCTGCAAGTCCTCGTACCCATAGGCGCCCATCTCCTCCTGGATGGCTGCGAGGCTGCCGGACAGATTCCTCACCTCCTCCCGCAGGCGCACGATAGTCCGTGTGTCCGCCTTGTACTGCTCCAGCACTGAGCTCAGGGGCAACAGCTCTGTCATCCTGTCCTTCAACTCCTGCCCACCAAGATGGAACTGTAGCTGATCCCTACTCCTGACCTTTGACCCAGACATACCATAACCTGTGACCCAGAACCTTACCCTTTATCTTTGATACACACCTAGCCCTTAACATTCGGCCCCCACTGTACCCCAGATCCCAGCCAACCCTGTCTTCCCAGACGTGATCCCACTCTGGGAACTAATGGGCTCCATTCCCAATTCTTTCCTTGATCGCCAACCTGAACCCAGAGGGACCCACCTGGAAGCTCTTGGCTGAGAGGGACCCATCGGCCCCCCGGAGCCGTGCGTCCAGGCTCCGCATGAGGGTCTCCATGCTGCGCACATACTGGAGGTCACGGTACGTCCGCAACTCAAGGACCTCCATGGACTGGGAGACGTTCTGGACCTGGGAACTGGGAGAGTTAGAGACAGCCAGACTCCTGCCCCCACCCCTGTCCCAGAGATGCCTCAGACAAGACTTGGGAAATACCCGACCAATCTTCTCCTCCCAATCTTACCAGAGGCCTCCCAGTCGCATGCCCAATCCATCCATTGGCCCGGCCTGGAATGGCCACCTCTTCCCACCCTAGGCCCTAACAGTCAGTTCTCCACACAGAAGCCAAAGGGAGCTTTTCAAAAGAAAGATTGGATCACCGCCTCCCCCTGTAGACCCTGCGTGCTGGTCCTACCACCCCGCCTGCCACCAGCCCCCTTTGCCCTCGCAGACTCTAGGCTCCTCCCCTCCTGAGTGTCTTTGCACCTGCTCCTTCCTCTATCTGGAGTGCTCTTCCTCTCGTCTTCCCACAGCTGGCTCCTTCTCGGTCTTCGGATCTCAACTCCAGCATCACCTCCTCAGAGCAGCCTTCCCTGACCACCCTGTCTCAACTAGCCACTCACCCACTTTCCCCATAGCCTGTTATTATCTCTCCAGCTATGACTGTCATCTGGACTGGTCCTGTTCATCTGCTTCCTTCAGGTGGGATCCACAGAGGCAGACCCGGTGTATAGCATTGGTCCTAAGCAGATGCTTAATGGATGCTCTTGAGCTAAATGAGTAAACTGAAATTCCCTCACCCTGGCCTCTCCTACCCCAGACTGAGGGCCCTCTATCTCCCACCTCCACCTGGGTAATGTGAGCTGCACCTAGCCAAGGTAAGCCCCACCTGGCTAAGGGGAACTCGAAGACAACACTGGATGGTTGTTGAAATACACCTTCTCCACATGACACTTGGACGTTCTCAGAAACCTAACAGCCCGATACCTACCCTGGCCACCACTGAACATTTTATAGCCCCTGTCGACAATCAGGGGACATCATATGGGTGTCCCAAACTATTGAGGAAAGCAGTCCTGGGGGTGTGGGTAGAGCAGGATCCTGGGAAGTTAATGAGTGGGAGACTCTTGTGCTGAGAGGGGTCTCTTCTGTCCTCTGCCAAGCCTCAGCCTCCTCCCTTATAAGAGGATGGAGGGAGGTCGCTGGTCCCTTTCAACACCAACAGCAAAGCTGTCCAATGGGCAGTCAGCTGGACAGTGGCAAGAAACAGCCATCAGTTTATAAAGGGCACTGAGACATCCTTGGAGATGTGTTGAATAGGGACCATTTTCTATTGACCACAATCAGAAAGGGAAGGGATCTTTATATGAGCCTCTTGGAGTAGAGGATTAGACCCCTCCCCAGGGGACACAAAACCCCTTCTTAGCAGATGAGTGTGGTGAACTAAAGGGCTGAGTGGGACATGCACTGTGGGGCCAGAGCTCACATGCAGGAGACACAGATGCTGCCACTGGGGTCCTATTTCCTCCCGGTCCCCCACAGCGCTCAGCTTCTCCTCCAAAGAAGCATTGAACAGATATTAGCTAACATATCCACCTGGAGGGAAGGCAAATTATCTGCCAGCTCTGATTAACCCGCATGGCTGTGGCCCTGGCTTACCTGGATGAGGGCAGAGGGCAGGGCGGGAACTGGAAGATTTCTCCATTTTCCCCAAGGAATCTGGAAGGTTCTTACCTTCTCCATCAGCTGCCGCAGCTCCCGACTCCTGCCGTCTCGGGAGCAGGTGCTCTGTGCAGGTATCACGGCCGTGCAGATGCATTTCCCGTCGGGGGCCTGGGCCGAGGTGTACAGCTGCCATCCTTCCTCTGGGCTTTGGAAGAGGGTCTGTGAGGAGGTCAGGGGTCAGAGAGCAGGAACCCAATGGGGGATTCTCCCACTCCTGCTAGGGGAGAAAGGGAGCTCGGGAAAACAACAAATGCCCTTTGCTGGACCCCTGGAATGCGCCAGACCATGTGTTGAGTGCCTGATGCTTGGAACTCCATTTCACAGATGACAAGACTGAGGTACGAGGGAGTGAGGAACATGGTAAGGAGTTTCAGGCTCGAGTCCTTCCACAGGACAGGAATTTATTCTCTCCCATGCGGTTGCTCACACACACTGCCTCCACAGCCACCATTAAAATAGCCCTGCTCATACCGCCACCCAAACCTGGTACCCCCTCTCTACTTCCCCAACTCAGGGTGACACATAAGCTCCGGATATACCTTGGGCCACTAAGCACAACTCTACCACCTCTGCCTCTGCTCCTGAGAAGCCCAGCCCAAAGGGTGACAATCCTCAAAGAGACTTCCAGGCCCTTGAATAAAAGGCATTCCCTTCAGATTCCTCCTCTTAAATTAATCTTCAAGTCAGTTTATATCATTCAAGTAATTCCAGGATCAATCATGGCTGTGTTCCCCAAACCATGCTCCCTGGAATGCTGGCAATCTTACCAGGCGTGCTGGACAAAGGGTCCTCTGTGGTCCAATAAGTTTTTGCATTGTTCAAAAAGCACTGACTGCCAGTGCTGGAACATGCTGCCCCCCACCCCCGCCCTCTCAGGCCCCCTTGAGCTTCCCAGAACATACTGGAGTTAGTCACAAGTCCCAATCTTTTTGTTTGTATCGGGGCATGATGGTCTCATTTGTTTAACATGTATTTGTTAAGCTCCTACTGTGTGTCAAGCTCTATTCTGGATATTGAAAACACAGCAGCAAACAAAACACACAAACACAAAAGCTCGTCTAGGTGCTTACATGAGAGAGACAGAAATAAACCAATAAGTAAACATCAAGTCTTTAAAGGGTGATGAGTGCCATAGAGAGAAGTAAGGATGGAAGAAACAGTGGGAGACACTGGAGTTGAGGTGGTGAGGGGTTGCAATTTTAGGATGGCTTGGCAAAGCCTCCATGAGAAGATGCATTTACAAGAGTCAAGAGCTAAAGGAGGTGAGGGAGAAGCCTGTGGATACCTGGGGAAGGTGTTCGGGGCAGAGAGAACAGAGGTGCAAAGGCCCTGAGACAGGGTCATGCCTGGCGTGTTTGGGCAACATGGAGACCGGTGTAGCTGGAGCAGAGTGAGCAAGAGGGTGATGGCGGGAGCGAGCAGGAGGGAGATGAGGGCAGGAAGCGGGCAGTGCAGCGCGTTCAGGGCCTGTATGTGGTGGGGAGGATTTGGTGTTGGCTCTGAGCGAGGTGGGAACCACAGGAGGGTTCTGAACAGAGGATGAACATGACCTGACTCAAGCGTTCACAGGCACCCCCTGGCTGCTGCGGGGGGAGGAGACCGGGGGAGACGAGGGCAGGAGACCGGGGAAGAGATGACTGCCGACATCCAGACAGATGATGATGGGTGGCGACCGTTTAGGTGAGCAGTGAAAGATTCTGGTCCTATCCAGGATGCACTCCTACAGGCACTGGAAGAAATTCTGATAAAACCCCAAGTGTTTTCCAGAGAAACAGCCCCACAATAATTGATCATTTGCAAGTCGTTAACTGGCTGCCCAGCAGAGGCTATTCCCAGGAGCTGCAGCAGAGATAAGCTGTGCATTACACACAGTCCTGGAGTCGACAGCTATTCTAAGCCCACCTTTTTCTCTCCTGCTCAATAAAGTATTTTTAAAAAAAAAAAAAAAAAAAAAGCTTATTGGAGTGTGAGAGTGATATAATTTTCCAGATGAGCTTGACTCATTAATTTATAAGAAAAATAAACCATTCATAAACACCATCTGAAACTATTATAATTAGTCATTCTTTGCACCTTATGTACACCCTTCTGAAGTTGGGGAGACCCCCTCTTTATGGGGAGATGTAGGTCTCCCTTGTGGAGGGATGAAGTCGCTCACTTGCCTAGCCTTCCTTGCCTGCAGATGTGATTCAAGAGGGGCCAACACTCACGCCTCCCCCGTCTCACCGCGGAAGTGGAAGTGCTCAGGACCACTCGCCACCCCCCACCCCCGACCAAGGGTTTCCTCCAGTGGCAAAAGGCCCTGCACCCCACCTGTAGCCCCTATCCATGCATCCCAGCAGTTAGTGAGGAATGTCAGCCTTCATCTCCAGTGGGAGAACTCCAAGGTGCACGTTGCATGCAGTTTCCCAGGGGAGCCCACTGGGACCTGTGCTCCAGGCGCCCACAGTGGCACACTCACTGCTCATTACCTCGCCCTGCATGGATTTCCTTTGCTTCCCATCTCATTTTCCTCTGGTTCCTTCTGGGATCACCTCCCAGATAAGTACCTGTACTCAACTCCTCTCCTCCACCTCTGCTTCTGAGGGAACCTGACCCAAGACAGGCGAGGTGACCCAAGAAAGCATTCCCCTTGGTTCTGGGAGAACACAGAACCAGTTTTGCCTCCTTTCACGACAAATTCAGTTCTTAAAACAAAACAAAAACAATGACTGTGAGTCCAAGAATCCCCAGGTATGTTCCCCTGGCTCAGATCCCCAAGCAATTTGGACAGAATCCCCTGAAAATTCTCATTTGTGTAGAGACAAAGCAGCTCAGTTCAACATAATTAACATCTCCTTCCTACATTTCCTAGCCTGTCCTTTGAAGCAAACAATCCACTTTCTCTCAACAATTGAAATATTGAATTGCAAACGAGAAGCAAGATTTAAGTGGTGAGGAGAGGCGGCCTCCATGGCTTTCCTAAAATAATTGTCTGCGTTGGACGCACCTTGCTAGAGTGCTCTCTGCAGCAGTGTAATTAAATGCCTGGGGTTTGGCTGCCAACTCTCAGCACGGCAGAGATCCTGAAGTTTGCCCATCGTCAGGTTCAAGATCAAATACACAGGCAAGTTCATGTCCCACGGAATACTGGAATGTCCTAGAAGGCTCAATGTTTGAGAACCCGAATGCTTGCTCTCCCAGACTGCATTTAGCTTGGAGCCGAAGTCATGAACTCTTGGAGAGCTTGAGATGGGGCCAGAGAATGGCCTAAACTAAGGGGATTGCTGTAACAGCAGGTGTCAGAGCCCAGGAGCAATCCAGATACAGACACCTCAGATGGCCTGTCTCACCTTGGATGTGGCAAATGCGCAGGAGCCAGATGCTCTCTTGGCTCAGCTGCTGGTTCCGAGTTTAATATTTCTGCT